CCATGATTGAAATTGGTTGGGTTTTCTAGGTCATAAGCGGTGAATTTGGTGGCAAGGAAGAAAATTGTTGGAAACAAGTTTCTTAGGCAAATTCGTGGAATGGGGTGGGCTATGAAAAACGGTTTCAAAAATTTGTGCTCCCATTTTTGCGCATAAAATCCTGCACTACCTACTAGATTTCTAGGTTTTTTTGCCTGCCCAGGCTTTTTGTCACCTGCCTGTCCGAGTGTCAAACTAGCGTCATTTTTCTCGAAGGTTGTGCCCGCACTGCACCCGCCATCGCACAGGGACGGTTGGCCAGGGGCAGATGCATTCAGTGGGGGGAGGGGTGTGCAGTGGGGCAGGATTCCTAACCCGATCCAACCTCGGGTCGGCCCACTGCAGTCGCCCACGCCTGTTGTCGCTCACTTCTGCTACTACTATTGCTACTGCTGCTGCTGCTGCTGCTGCAGTCTTGCTGATGCACTGTGCTGCTGCCTCTTCTGCTTGCATGGCAGACTACCATCTGCTTGTTCCACATCCCAAAAACGTTTGGGCCGAACCCCCCCCCCCCCTCAGGTTACCCACAGCTTACCCTGTGGCGGGATACCCCGTGGTCCTTGTCTAGGTGACCCGCGGGTAACCTCGACCACAATCACCTCCCGTGGTGACCCCGAGGTCACCCATTGGAGACCCCTCCCATCATGCGGGAGCGAATCACACGCGAGTCGCTTTCGCACTATGCTATACATCGCCAACATTACAGAATATTTAGAAAGCTTGCTTTCTTGTTGTAGCAATGGCATCGTCTCATTTCAAATGGGTTAGTACAAACAAGTCCAAGCTAGCATAGGATAATTCTCGTAGCACAATTAACTATTATTCACTATTCTAGGGGGTGGGTGGGTGCGAAACTTGACTAAACCGTTTGAAAAATGAGAGACGTGGGTGGAGGGAAATGACCTCCAGCCCACGTTTTGTACTCCAAAACGGGCGTTTAGCGCGGTTCGCCGATGACCATTGCTACATTACAAGCCGCTTCGCTTTCAAAATACACAATTTTGAAAAGCGTTACAGCTTTTAAAAATATTCATATTTAGAAAGCTTGCTTTCTTGTTGTAGCAATGGCATCGTCTCATTTCAAATGGGTCTTCTGAGACATGTGTCGTGTTGGTCGTCGTTGGTGCGCCAGCGACGTGGCGTGTTGCGCAGGGGAGAGGGATCGTGCCGGGTCTTGGACGTGTCTCGATGCTCCCACCAGTTGGTCTGCGGCAGGCGTGATGTACGTCTCCTTCGCGGTGTCGCTTCTCCATCGTCCTAATCACTTCAGGATTCGGTCAGGTATGCCGGCATTGGCTGCGACAGTCGCTGCACCTTTCCGGAAGGAGTGGGTTCCGAGGTGCTCGAAACTGAGACCGATTTTATGAAATGCCTCCTTGCACCAGTTGCGAATTGTGGTGTAGGATGGCGGCTTGGTGATCCCGCCTTCTCCAGCCTCTGTTCCAAAGACGCGGATGAGCGGGCCTCGTTGCGAGTGGTCATATTTCGCCAAGTGTATGAAGTGTTTGGTGCAACGAACGGGGCAGAAAGGGCCCGGGCTTGCAGCTACCGGGACCCATATGCCTTCTCCTGCGTGGTCCGTCTTGGAGCGGGGGATTAAGAGCCACATGACTTCTGACTCGAAATGAATCTCATGCCAGTTGATGACTACGAGATCGGAGTAGCGTAGGAACCCAGCGTACATTAAGATCGGAATTAGGCCCTTCTGAAATTCGCGAGGGTTGTCCGATTGTAGAAATTCCGATGCCATCGCATGCACTTGATGTAGTGACACAGGTTCTTTGGCCCGGGTAGGATGCGGGCATTGCTTCTTCGCGAACTCCTTGACTTGTAAGGTAAATGGACCAGTGGACGGGCATGATGCACCGATCGAACGATGCGCGAAGCTGTCTGCCGAGCATGTCAACTGTATTGCAGACACCGTGGCCTTCTGCTGGATGGCGTGGACCAGGTACAGGGCGAGCGACATGTCGGTGCATGGGAGGAACTTGAGCTTGTGTTGTTGGCAAAAGGAGCGGAACTTGACCCAGTAGGGCTCATACGTGCGGATTGTTGAGTCGGCCCGCGTTTGGGTGGTGATCTCTAGTAGCCGATGTTTGAGTTTTTCCAGCAATCCTGCATCCAGTACGAGCGTGGTTAGCAGGCGAAGGACACGCGTAGTGCAACCATGGGACTGCATGGTAGACCGTCGCCAGAAAAGGCACTCGAGTGATTGCCTGCCGTCAGGCACTGGCTACCGTGCGTGAGGGGAATGTGGGTATGAATGTAGGGGGCCCATTGAGGGGGGGAGGGTTGCAGTAGGGGCCACCAGCTTGCACCAGCCCAGCGGGGTGCGATGAGCGTGAAGGTGGCGTGAGTTCGTTTGGCATGGTGGAGTACTGCCGGGATCAGGTGGGGTGGTGGGAATGCATATCCCCGCTCGGATGTCCAAGGGATGGAGAACGCATCGACTGCTGCTGCATCTGGGTGCGGTATTTTGGAGCAAAACCAGGGCAGCTTGGTATTGCTCCCATTTGCGAATAGATCGATTGAATGTGGGCCCAAACGACGCTCGATGAGGAGGAACCAAGGTGTCTTTAGGGAGTAGTCGTCCCGATCGAGCGACTTGGAAAGCTCATCCGCTCGTGTGTTTAGCTCACGCGGGATCCATTCAACCATGAGCCGAATCCGAAAAGTCGTGCATATCTGAATGATCGACTTGCATGTCGTTGTGAGATTGTCGTGCCTCGAACCGCCTTTTCTGAGGATGAAGAAAACGCCTTGGTTATCGGTCCTTGTGAGAACGTGCTGGTCACGAATCCGTTCTGCAAACGTTTGGAGCACCCATAGTACACCATCGATCTTGCGTTGCGTGCTGGATGCCTCCAGCAGGTGCTTTGGCATTGCCGCACTAGCCTCGAGACGCCGTCCTGGGAACTTGTCCAGCGTCGCTCCCCAGCTGTGTGCGCTGGCATCCACGGGGCACCATTAAATTTGTCGAATTCGTGGCGCCAAAAATCCAACTCTTCGATGGCCGTGGGGTCAAGCGGCACCTTGCTGTTCCATGATGGTGCCCGCTGAATTGCGTGCAGTAGGCCTTGACTGAATGCTCGCGTCGTCGCCCCAAGGGCCAGGGACATGGATGCTAGCATGCCGGTGACTCTGGCAATGTGACGAACTGGGAACTTGCGTCTTGCCTTTCCTGCCCTTTGTAGGTCTTGGATGGTGGAGAGTAGTGAGGCCCGTCGTTCAGCGCCATTCGAAAACTGACCACGATCAGTGTCTAACTCGACTCCGAGAAAACGCAGCTGCTGGGTTGGTTCCAGCTGCGACTTTTTCGAGTTGATCACCAGGCCTGCCCTGTTGAGGTCATGTATGATTAGGTGGCATGTGGCTCGTGCCGCTGCTTCCGTGTCACAAAGGAAAAGAATGTCGTCCACATAAGGAATGGCCCGTATGCCCATGGCTCGCCAGTGCCGGGCAAGTTGTTTGATCAGTTGTGTGAAAACGAACGGGGCTGTCGCGAGGCCGAAAGGGAGCGAGCGGAATATGTATGTCTTTCCGTCGAATCGAAACCCCAGGTACTTCCAGCATGATGGGTGAATATCCACGTGGTGAGTGTGCTCTTAGCACGGACGTCCTTGAGGACAGGCAGGAGGAGTTCCAGTGTTTTGCTACAGCTTTACCTCATCTCGTATCCATGCTGCTTGCCCCTGAGGGAGACCCGGATGCACCAGACATCCCGACCCCGCGCTCTTACGCAGAGGCGATAGAGGGTCCCTACTCCTCTCAGTGGCAGACAGCCATGGACGCAGAGATGGCTTCCTAGAAGTCCACAGGCACCTATGCCGATGAGGTTCCCCCACCTGGGGCGAACATCGTCAGTGGCATGTCGATCTTCAGGGTGAAGCGGCCGCCTGGTTCTCTACCTGTCTTCAAGGCGCGTTACGTGGCTCGAGGCTTCAGTCAGCGGCAGGGAGTTGACTACTTCCAGACCTTCTCTCCCACCCCGAAGATGACCACTCTTCGGGTACTGCTGCACATAGCCGCTCAGCGCGACTACGAGCTTCACTCTCTTGACTTCAGCACTGAACTCCTACAGGGAAGCCTGCACGAGGAGATCTGGCTGCGCCGCCCACCTGGCTTCACTGGGTCGTTTCCTCGTGGTACCCAGTGGAGCCTTTGGCGGCCAGTCTACGGTCTCCGCCAGGCGCCCCGTGAGTGGCACGACACACTGAGGACTACGCTTGCGGCCCTTATGTTTGCTCCTTCTACTGCTGACCCGTCGCTGATTCTACGCACCAACACCTCTTTGCCGCCGTTCTACATCCTCGTGTACGTCGACGACTTGGTCTTTGCTACTGCTGACACTGCTGGACTCGCCGACGTGAAGTCCGAGCTGCAGAAGAGACACACGTGCACAGACCTGGGTGAACTGCGCAGCTATCTTGGCTTGCAGATCACCCGGGACAGAGCACACGGCGCACCATTACACTGACTCAGTCACACATGGTGCAGCAGGTCCTTCAGCGTTTCGACTTCACATACTCCTCGCCTCAGGCCACTCCTCTGTCTACTCGCCACTCGCTCTCAGCTCTGCCTTCGGATGAGTCCGTAGAGCCGAGTGGCCCGTACCCAGAGCTTGTTGGCTGCCTCATGTACCTGATGACCTGCACTTGACCTGACCTGGCATACCCTCTTAGCATCTTGGCACGCTATGTTGCTCCTGGGAGACACCGACCAGAGCACATGGCTGCAGCGAAGAGGGTGTTGCGCTACTTGTGCAGTACGTCGGGCATGGGGCTAGTGCTTGGAGGGCGACGTTCAGTGGTCCTCACAGGTCACGCAGACGCTTCTTGGGCTGACGACCAGGCTACGCAGCGGTCGTCACAGGGTTACACCTTCAGCCTTGGTTCCGGCTCTGTTTCGTGGCGGTCTACCCGCTCGTCTTCTGTTCTTGGCTCCAGCTGTGAGGCTGAGATCTACGCAGAGGCGACGGCGGGGAGGAGGGAAACGCGACGGCGGGGAGGAGGGAGAGGCGACGGCGGGGAGGAGGGAGAGGCGACGGCGGGGAGGAGGGAGAGGCGACGGCGAGAGGGAGAGGCGACGGCGGGGAGGAGGGATACGCGACGGCGGGGAGGAGGGATACGCAACGGCGGGGAGGAGGGAAAGGCGACGGCGGGGAGGAGGGAGAGGCGACGGAGGGGAGGAGGGAGAGGCGACGGCGAGGAGGAGGGAGAGGCGACGGCGGGTAGGAAGGAGAGGCGACGGCGGGTGGGAGGCGACGGCGGGTGGAAGGGAGAGAGGACGGCGTGGTGGGAAAGAAAGGATGGCGGGGTGGAGGTAGAGATTATGACGAGGTGGGTGGTGGGAGAAAGAGGCAAGAGGTGGGTGGGTTTGTCACGTGAAAACACACGCACAATCACGTGACACTGAGTGGGCTGAAAACAACTCACTATGAACCACACAAAATAGTGCAATGTTACAATACAAAGTATTATCTTTGAGGAAAGAGATCATTGTTCACTATACAAAACAAAAAACGATCAATGTGTCTAGATCTTAACGTATTAGAAACGTCAATTGTTAAGAATCATAAACATCCACGTTGAAATGAATAGATTGAACCATAAAAAACGCTTGCCATATTCCTTGAACGGTAGACCTAGATTTGATGATTTAAAAAACCGCAATTTGTTTTTGTCAACTAAGAATGTAACATCTACGCAACCCTTCCGACGTTAAAGCTCGCGTCTCAGATTTCCAACCTTTTAACACTTGGTTGGGTTTTCCCGTCTGTGATTGGGTAACGAATGACGAATTATTTGACGAGTGGGTGAAAAAAACACAGCGAACTCCCAAACAGTCGAGGCCAAAACAAACCAGGGTGGGTTGGTTTGGGTGGAAAACGAGCCAAGGGGGACAGGTTTGGTCCCGGGTTCTGTCAACGTTGAGTTCAGAGTCTCATATTTTCGAGAGTTGTTAACACTTGGTGTGCACGGGGAAGTGTGCGACAGCCAACTTTCCCAACCCACCCCTTGCTTTGGTGTGCTTTGCGACAAACTCTGCTGTTACCGGATTCCAACCGTTTAACACTTGGTTGGATGGCAGAAATATGAGACGCGAGCTTTAACGTCGAGTCTTGTTTATACTACGAACTGCTGCATATTTTCCCTAAATGTTTTCGCTTCAAAGGTGCAGCTTCCGAAGCGAACTCTGCTTCGGAGACCTCACCAGGAAGTACTTCGGAGATCGTCCGTTCAAGTTGTCTGAACGGATGCACAAATGCACGATCGGTCTGCAGTTCGAGGTTCGGTTCGTTCGGTTCGAGGTGCAAGTGTAGGCACTTCCCCACCAACATTGCTAGATTTCTAGCGTACATGCAACAATCCAGGCCGCGACGACGCCGCAAATGCCGCCGCCAAAGCCAATAGCAATGCAGCCGCGAGCATGGATTGTATTCTCCGCCGCACTTTGGCTTGCAGCCTTCGGCTATCCATGCCATGCGCAACCATTCCAACCTGGAGTCGCGATGATCAACGCTACGCAAGGTACCTCCCTCCTCGCACAATGCGCAAAGACATGTCGTACTAGGCCGCGCTGCCTGCCAATGAGGTCGGAGGCAGCCATGACTAGTACAGGAAATACCGCAGCAACCCCCCTGTTTGGCTATAGGTACTAACAGCGAGCAATCACCTCCCTCCTCGTAACCTCGCACTGTGTGGTAGTAGTAGCAACCAGCACGCGGTTTGCCGCCCCTGCCACAATGCGACTCAAATAGCACTGATCTCGTGCGGCACGGCACGAGTGCCACGTGCTCTACTCGCGACGATGCTGTTTCAAGGTGATGATGCTTTGAGGGCGGGGATGGGAGAGACCCATCGTCACAAGAGCCTTTCCTCGTTATCCATAGAAGCAGGCTCAGAAAGCAGGGGGCGTTCGGGCACAGCCTGTAGCAATAGCAAAGCTGATCCCCTGACACGTTTCCGGCACAGGCTGTAGCAGTAGCAAAGCTGATCCTCTGACACATTTCTGGCGCAGGTTGTAGAAGCAGCAAAGCTGATCCCCTGACACATTCTGGAGCAGGCTTTATATATCCATCAGTGTCAACGCAGGCCCGCAGGCTGCATCTGCTCTTCACTTTGTGCCATGAATGAGTCGGTGCAGTGTGGCCTAAGCAATGAGTCGGAGGAGTGCGGCCGTAGTGATGAGTCGGTGCAGCGCGGCCTTAGCGATGAGTCGGTGCAGCGCGGCCGTAGAGATGAGTCGGCGCAGCGCGGCCTGAGCGGTGCAGCGCGGCCGTAGAGATGAGTCGGCGCAGCGCGGCCTGAGCGGTGCAGCGCGGCCGTAGTGATGAGTCGGTGCAGCGCGGCCTTTGCGAGCGATGAATTGGTGGTGCAGTACCGCGCTCACTCAAGCAGCTAGCAAGGGCACGACGGAAATCCAGTGAAGCCAAGGAGGGTCGCAGCACTGGGGTGGCGCGTAGTTAGGGGCTCGAGAGTGGCTTCGTTGGTTCGATTCTAGGGCCTGCAGTGCCTTCGCCAATCTGTCTCGCTGGTGACTGAGCGAGCTGGTGATTGAGCCCTGCCTTCTGACTGGCCCAGCTGGTGATTGAGCCCTGCCTTCTGACTAGCCCAGCTGGTGATTGAGCCCTGCCTTCTGACTGGCCCAGCTGGTGATTGAGCCCTGCCTTCTGACTGGCCCAGCTGGTGATTGAGCCCTGCCTTCTGACTGGACCAGCTGGTGATTGAGCCCTGCCTTCTGACTGGCCCAGCTGGTGATTGAGCCCTGCCTTCTGACTGGCCCAGCTGGTGATTGAGCCCTGCCTTCTGACTGGCCCAGCTGGTGATTGAGCCCTGCCTTCTGACTGGCCCAGCTGGTGACTGAGCCCTGCCTTCTGACTGGCCCAGCTGGTGATTGAGCCCTGCCTTCTGACTGGCCTAGCTGGTGATTGAGCCCTGCCTTCTGACTGGCCCAGCTGGTGATTGAGCCCTGCCTTCTGACTGGCCTAGCTGGTGATTGAGCCCTGCCTTCTGACTGGCCCAGCTGGTGATTGAGCCTTGCCTTCTGACAGGGCCAGCTGGTGATTGAGCCCTGCCTTCTGATTGGCCCAGCTGGTGATTGAGCCCTGCCTTCTGACTGGCCCAGCTGGTGATTGAGCCCTGCCTTCTGACTGGCCTAGCTGGTGATTGAGCCCTGCCTTCTGACTGGCCCAGCTGGTGATTGAGCCCTGCCTTCTGACTGGCCTAGCTGGTGATTGAGCCCTGCCTTCTGACTGGCCCAGCTGGTGATTGAGCCTTGCCTTCTGACTGGCCCAGCTGGTGATTGAGCCCTGCCTTCTGATTGGCCCAGCTGGTGATTGAGCCCTGCCTTCTGACTGGCCCAGCTGGTGATTGAGCCCTGCCTTCTGACTGGCCCAGCTGGTGATCGAGCCCTGCCTTCTGACTGGCCCAGCTGGTGATTGAGCCTTGCCTTCTGACTGGCCCAGCTGGTGATTGAGCCCTGCCTTCTGATTGGCCCAGTTGGTGATTGAGCCCTGCCTTCTGACTGGCCCAGCTGGTGATTGAGCCCTGCCTTCTGACTGGCCCAGCTGGTGATCGAGCCCTGCCTTCTGACTGGCCCAGCTGGTGACCTAGCATACTTATGCAAAAAGCAACTCCAACAGGAAGTAGACTCAACCACTATTAATAGTGTTTCTTGACATTCACACTCGGCTGTCAAATGGAAACCGTTGCTTGTCAATACCAATGACTATCCTATCCTTCCGCCAAGTTGTCTTCAATAATGCGAAGCTCTGTGTTGAGGCTTAGCACGCTGGCTTTGACCTCCTTCATCTCCTGCACTCGTGAATCCACCTTCACAGCCGCGCTCAGCTCCTCTTTCCCCACCCATTCCTCCCTGATGACCTGCAGCTCGTTGGCGACGTGTGCCATGCTCGGGCGGGCTGCAGTGCGCTCCACGGTGCAGGCGAGAGCGAGCTGAGCCACACACAGCACAGCATCTGTAGGGGCGTCCATGGTGGGATCCTTGAGGCTTCCCATGTCCCCCGAGGACATGCGCTCGGACGCCTGAGGGAGTGGAGCAGGTGGAGGGGTTGGGAGAAATCACAAGCAGAGTGAGGTGAGCAGACGCTACCTGACTACGGAGGTGTGGAACGAATTTCTTCGAGGCCATCGAGAAGACGCTAGCAAAGTTATTGAGTGGAAGCAGAATGGTTCTTACCCATGGAGTCACCTGCAGGCCCTGAGAGGACCACTAGCAAAACCGGACGTGCGTAAGGTGTCCCACAACCAAACACTGGGCAGCGGACGGGGGTGTTCCCTTGTGCTATTAAGATGACACTATCACAGAAAATAAGAACAGGCCGGTTTCATCAGTGATCGGGTGCTCTGCTTACCCATGTAGTGATCTGCTGACCGTCTCCATCAGTCCCTAAGAATGGTGGGCGTCCTGTGAGGATGACCAACATGAGCATTCCAAAGCTGAAAAGAACATCACAGCACAGAGGCACAGGATGCAGAGGGAGAGGTGGAGACAGAGGCACTTAAGATGAATCTTGCCAGCTGAATGCATTGAGCACAGGTTCATGGACTCTAGACACATAGTAAATGGAGCTCACTTTCGTATCGCCTCTGCACATGCCTCCCAAAGGTTTGCAATGATTCTAAGCGGCTGCAACGCTTTCTAAGCGCCTCCTGCGATGCTTTTTAGGAACCCCTGCAACAATCTAAAGGGACTACTCTCATGCTTTTCAAGAGACTCTGGCAATGCTTTGAAGGTATTACTGCAATGCTTTTCAAGGGACAACTGCAATGACTAGAAGGGACTTCTGCAATGCTTTGTAAGGGACTACCGCAAAGCTTTCCAATGGACTCCTGCAAGCTTTCCAAGGGTCTCCTGCCTCACCTGTACACATCACTGGCGGTCGTGGCCTTGGACGTGCGGGAGTAGGCCGGATCCACATAGCCCGGTGTGCCCATGATGCGTGTCGTACCCACACTCGTGCCCTCCCCCAGCCTCACCAGCCCAAAGTCTGCAATTTTTGCCTGGTCATTTTTATGAGAGTTGTTGTAGCATGCGAGATAAGGAACAGAGCACGATTTAAATCATATAGGTGTAAGCGTCTACATGACTCGGACACATACTAGCATAGCTTGACCGGAATTATAAAATTTGCGTCCACTATAAGGAAGCAACTCTGACACCAAAAGCTTGCCTGGATGCTATCGGTGATGAGGACATTTGCCTCCACCAAAAGGAAACCAGCCTGATCTATCGCAAGCAAGCTTATTTTGAACACAATGACACTTTATGTTGAAAGAAATGTTTGTGGCAAACCAAATCCAAATGTGTTCAAGTCGCCTTAGGTAAGTGTTCGTTTGGGTTCGCGGCAAACACGTTTGCATTTGCCTTTTGCTCATGTCTACTTTGCTGTACATTCAGGATTTGGTCACATGATCATTAGCTACTTTATCCAGACTCAAATGCATAGGCAAATAAATGCATAGCCCAGTTTCCAACATTTTCCATGGTGTGTGCACCCACCATGGAAATCAGATTGACATCAAAACAATCCACCACAACCAATCTTGCCTGCATGTTCTCGGTGATGAGGACGTTGGCAGGCTTGATGTCGCGATGCACGATGCCAAAGCTGTGGAGGTACTCAAAGCCCCTTGCCATGCCAATTAAAATGTCCAGCCGCTGCTTCAGAGTCAGAGGGCGTTCGGCATCTGCAAGGAGTCAGTGCGAGCAAATGAGAGGAAGGGCATAGGTGGCAGATGATAAGTGCCAGAAGGTAAGTGGCAGAGGAGGAGTGGCGTTCTGCCTCTGCAATGAATAAGTGGCAGACAAGGATTGGCAGAGGTGAGTGGCATCAGATGAGTGGCAGATCAAGAGTGGCCGAGGGCAGGCTACATCTCAAGGATGCATGGTACAGCATGTGTGTGGCACAGCATAAGACTGGCAAGCTGCTTCAGAGTCAAGGTCACGCTACACGATACGAGTGACACAGCAAATGAGTGGCACATCGATGGATGGCACAGCATATGATTGGCACAGCATGAGTGGCAGAGCACGAATATCAAAAGTAACATTGGAGAGGCACACGTACTTTGACCGATCCATTTGTTAAGATCGCCATTGGGAACGTATTCATAGATGAGAACTTGCTCTGGCTGTGTCCTCAAGTCTCCTCCGATCGCAAAGCCAAGGAGCTTCACAACGTTGGGATGGTTCTTGTCGGCCATCTGCTGGATCTGATCCACACAGCCAGAAAGAAAGGGCAGACAACAAAGAAAACAGATTGCAAAGGAGAGCTCCGAACACATAGCCGAACAACCTCGACAAATTGAGGAACTGGCTTGCAATTTTCATGCCTGCAAAGGCTTGTGAGAAAAGGCTTTGCATGCGCCACCATGGTTGACTGACCTCCTTCTGAAAGCCCACGCTTATCAGCCTGGCTCGCTTGACAGCCCACATTGTGGTGCCATCGCGGGGAGACACACCCTTGTACACATCGCCAAAGGCACCCGAGCCCAGCTGGTTGGCGGGGGACCAGTCATTAGTGGCCTTGAGGACCTCAGCCAGCGAGAACTCCGTGCAGTGCGAGGCTGCCAGGCTGCTGGTCGGGCCTGCTTGTAGTGTTAGGGAATGATAAAAGGAGGTGGATGGGTGCAGGGAAGTATGCTTGAACACGATTCGATCAAGTTGCCAAGGCGAGTTGAGTCAGGTCGAGTCGGGTCGGCTTCAGTCAAATCATCATGTGCTGAGTAGAGTCGGGTCAGACCCGTGACTTGCCCCAACTTGTTTCGTGAATTGTGGTTGAGTCCCAGCATAGCGTGTATGTCATTTTATGGGTCATGAAAGTGACGACCCAATATGTACTCGCGGGGTTATGCAGAGTGGGCGCTGAGAGACTCTACGAATTCGCAGTTCCAAAACTTGACATCTTAAAACCATTTGTTGCCTCAACACCTTGTCGCACTTAAATCCCTAAATGATGTAGCCCAGCTTTACGTCCCTCAGGGTACATCCAGTTTTTTCAAAAAGTATAGAGCATGTAAGCTTGTAACTGAAGCAAATTCGTGTGGCAAGTCAATCTTGCCCATTCCAAGCCAGGAGATTTAAGCAGCTGATCATGACTAGGCTTGCACACTAGCATGCTCGTGTCGCAGTTCATGCAGTGAAAAACTTACTCTTCACGTATTGTTATGATTGCAAACAGCCGCACACAACTGCATCGACAGAGTGCAGCTGTACCTTTTCTGGAGTGTACTTTTGGTTGAATTGTTTCCGTACCTATTGGCTTCGGCTGTATCTTGTGCCTGAAGTAAACCAGAGTGGCGACAAGAAGCAGAAGAATCACCACAGCGGCAACAACAATGCCAATGATGACTCCCACTGACACTCCACCCCCACCGCCTGCTGACGAAGATTCGCTGCTGCTGCTGCTGATGCTGCTACCGCTGCTGCTGCTGCTGCTGCTGCTGCTGCTGCTGCTGCCGCTGCTGCTGCTGCTGCTGCCGCCGCTGCTGATTTCTGCAAATGACATGACCATAGATCCACATGCACAATGGGGATTGCTGCAAGCTGATCACTAGAGTTACCACGTGAGGGGTACGTTTTTAAAGCATGCCTTGCGGCGTGCAATGCCATGCATTCCCATGTGTTGCCATGCATTCCCATGTGTTGCCATGAATTCCCATCTGCCATGCGTCGCTTGCTGTACCAAATTTAGATTTCTAGATCAAATTTCCCTGGAACAATAATCTCAACAAATCATGACGTCGTGTCTCGTTGCGTTTCACTCTAAAATCATACCTGGCTGGTGTTTATTTACTCGCCTGCAGATTGGTTGCTGCAAGAATTGCAGAAGGGTTCACATATGCGGCAAAAGGGTGTAGTAGCAGATTGTGTTATGCCACATGTGGAGTTGACAGGTGGGCATGTGAGGTTGGTGCCAGAGATGTTGCTGCAGTGGAAAGGGGAGATAAAAAAGCATTCATTTCAAGCTCAACCTGTATTGGCTAATTAGTCATGAACGTGGGAACGGTATAGGGATGGTGACTAGGAGGGGCATGGAGACATTGCCAGTACCACGGCATTTGATCAGCCTCTCTCACTCTGCCTCCCAGTTCATTTCGGATCCGGTACTTGCTCAAGCCTTTTCAAAAGTTTCAGGTCCGATTCGGGTTCAGTGCTTGCTGAAGCGTACTCACAAGTCACAAGTTTGGTTGGGTCTGGTACTTGCTCAAGCCTACTCACAAGTACTTCAATCTTGTGAGGCCTCCAATCTCAGCTGGAATCTCCCCGCTGAGGTTATTATCAAAGAGGTTTCTGGTCAAATGAATTGGGCGGAAAGTGTGGGAGTAAGCCCTGTTAGCCTCGTGCACGCAGCAATGCAGCAACATGCATCCACCCATCCATTCAAAGGCATGCATCCTCCCATCCACATGAAGGCATGCATCCATCCGTTCAGTTCAGTGCTGCACGCATGAAATGGGGGAACCTGGCAGTTCCGATGCGTGCATCTATCTCGAGAGAATATAGATGGCAGGTTGGTACAATTGGATGGGAAAACTGCCTGAAAAGAAAATATGCACGGCAGCAACTATAAGGTGCAGTGCACCATTGAAATTGGCACAGAACATCCCAGCATGCTCTGGAATCGCAACTGAGATGACAAGACTGTGGAATGTCACACAGCGATTATGAAAGTGAGTTGATGCGCAAGCGCAGTGCAGGCTTGGCACATGAGAGAGCAGTACAAGCTTGGCATATGAGAGCGCCATGCAGCCTTGGGGTGGCACACAAAACAATGATTTTAGCGAGCCTCGTACAGGTAAGTGAGGCCATCAAGGAAGGCGAAGTTGGTGAACATGGGGCCACTGAAGGAATTGGATGAGAGATCCCTGTGCATTGTGTGTTGTGGGTTGTGGGTTGAAAGAAATGTAGGATTGCAAATAGCAGGCATGGCAGGCAAGTCGGGAAGCACATGCAAGCGGCCCAAGGGAGTGTGATGGGTCAAGATCTTAACTGTTGGGAAGCCTTGTTGTGAGCTTAGAGACGAAAGAGCATCATTGGATTGGGAGCAAAGGAAGAAGCATAAGTAGATGAAAGTAGGGAGGGTGGAGGGGGGAGGAAAGGGAGGTGGAAAGAGCTGCGGAATAATCGGGCTAAGTGGAGGGAGCATGGTGGCTGAGAGGAGAATAAGTCTGGGAAGGGACATACGGATGGATGGCCGCACAGCACAAAAGGCAAGTGGAAGATGATGAAACAAATGTGGGATGGAGGAAAATTTCCAGTTAAAAAAACTCCTTCAAATCTGTAATGTTTTGATTCGGACCCCCCAGGGTTCTGGTTGCAGGCAAGTGGGCATGAATGCTGCTCCAGAGCAAGGGGTGAGTTTTGAGATTGTACAAATGTGGCAACGCAGTGACATTAATGAAGAACAGCTGCTTATTCGGTTCCCCCTGTGCTGTCAACAAGCCAATGGTAGCTGGGATAGCCTGGTACTGGAGTCATGAATCATGATACTTACAAGTTCACCAAATTGATCAAGCGGCTGAGAGTGGATGGAATAGATC